TTGAAAACAAAAAAATTTCGATTGACAAATTAGTCGGTGTTCTTGACACAGCAATTATAGGACTTGAACAGCAGAACTTTGTAACTGAACAAGAAATTATGTCTGTTTAATAGAATTAAAGAGAAAGTATTATCACATGAAACGAAGCAAAACTTAAACAACTTACATTGAAAGAAATGTTTAATAAAGTAAACAAATAAATATTAAGCTTTTTCTTTTTGCAAATTTTGATACCCTTTAGATCATAATTGTTCTTTATTTCATAAATTACGGTTTCATATTTTTAATTTTAGAATATCTGCATGCCATCTTACGAGATTTAAACTGATGATCTATAATCCGGAAAAATCGATAATCCGGAATCGCCGAAGTCTCGACGAGTCCGGATTAACGACTTTTGACTGTGTTATTAAAGGGTGTCCGCAGGGTGGTATTCTTTCTCCGTTCCTGTGGAACTTGGTTTTCGACTCACTCTTAGTACTTCTACGGGAGGAACCTGGCATGTCACAGGCTTATGCAGATGACCTTATTGTGTTATTACAGGGTTTCGATATCGGAACCCTACATAATCAAGCTCAGCAGATCTTAAATAAAGTTTCACACTGATGTGATACAAATGGCCTTCCTTTCTCTGCTGAAAAATCTGAGGTCATAGTTTTCACGTGGAGAAGGAAATGGAAACTGGCAGATTTATATCTGGGTCACCAGATTATTAGGCGTAAGGAATGCGTTAAATACCTAGGATGTTACCTGGATAGTAAACTTACATGGATCACCCATATAAAAGAAAAGGCACAAACAGGCCACAAATGTTCTAGTACTTTGTAGGCGAATCGTTGGTAAACAATGGGGCCTTAACCCAAAATCTACTCTATGGATTTATACTGCCATTGTCCGGCCAATGCTTTCTTACGGATGCGTGGTCTGGATTAATGTTATTAACAAAAGCTCGTATTTAAACATTTTACAAAAGGTGCAAAGACTTGCTTGCCTAAGCATTAGTGGGGCTTTAAATAGTACCCCTACTGCTGCATTAGAATTTTTACTGCAAATTCCACCCTTGAAATTATTCTTGAGCAGAGAAGCAATTAAAGCCATGTATAGATTGAATAAAAATGGCACATGGTGCCAAAGGACAGGTTTTGGTCATAAAAGCCACCTGAAAAGCCACATTGACATATGTCTGGACTTGGGCAATGAGATCCCTATAATCTATATGCCCAAAGATGCAATTACTAAAACAATAGTTCCAGATAAACTATTCTCAACTCATATACCAAAAAGGAATGAGATAGAATCTCTAATTGACCTAATTCCAACAGGCTCAATTGAATGTTACACAGATGGATCAAAATCCAACTTCACTGGAGCTATTATAAGGACCAAGGGATCTGAAGAAGATTTCATTAGATTTCATCTATACCTTGGTAAATTTACAACTGTTTTCCAAGCCGAGGTTCTGGCGATCAATATGGTCGCCAAGGAGCTCTTAGCTAAAAATACAGTTGATAAGTATATATATATTCTCTCTGACAGCCAATCAGCCATCCTTGCCCTGGCTAATCGTGTCAAGTTACAAAACTGTGTTTTGAACTGTACTCAAGATCTCAATTCTCTGGCTCAGGCCCATAATACCATTAGTTTAGTCTGGGTCCCAGGTCATTGTGATTTTGCTGTGTCTAAGTTAAGGGATTTAAATGGAGTTACCATTTAAATCCCTTAACTTAGATGATCAAATGGCGGAAGAGTAATGGGCAATTTTGCCTAAACTCCTTTCCTTCTTGTCATAAGAAGGAAGCGCCCTATTGTTATGTTATGTTACTGATTTTAATTATTCATGAAATAACAAAAAATACAGTTTCGTTTTAACACATACCGACACTGCATATTGTATTACAGTATGCATATAAAAATCTATACTATATTTAAAAAACTAGATAAGAAGATACTTAGACAGGCTGACAAATAAGACAGCAAGCAAATACTCTTTGAAATATTCCAAACGTGTAACCAAAAACAGAATAATGAAAATGCAGGTAAATGTTTACAAATCAGACCGATTTCCAAATTCACCTATGTATACAAATCCAGCGTTTCCTTGAAAAGACCATATTTTTATTCAAATGATAACCAGATATGATAAATTTCCAGATTATTGCATCTGAAGGAAGAACATTTAATTTTACTGTAGTAATTTTTAATTAACATATTATTATTGTTATATTTTGAATGTACTTACATCAAAATGCAAGTCAAAATCTGCAAATATTTACAAATCTACAAATGTTTTTTTTACAAAGGAAAATATGCTAGTTAACTGATTTCATTTTTAATACAAAACAAGATCACAACAACTTCACAGTATATAAAAACGAACATTATCAGCAATTTTTAACATTAGAAACTTCATTATAATTTCTAATAACACTGCGGCAGCTTTTAGTAATCGTAAATATTTTAATTTTGGAAAAAACTAAATTTTTAGTTAATAAGTAAAAAAAAAAAAAAAAAAAAAAAAAAAAAAAAAAAAAAAAAAAAAAAAACTATTCTGAGGAATATTTTCCAATTCTTTGCTTACTAGTTACTGAATAGATAATACTGCCGAAAACTGGCAGTTCATAATCAGAGTTCCTAAAGAAAAAGCAGTTGTTTTTGTGGTTTGCTCCATATATAATATGAATACAAGAATACAAACCTCTTTCCCTTAATTTACAAAGAAAATTACCCTCTCCAACCGGACAGATAGACCTCACCTTGCATAACATAGTAGGCATCTAACTTTTGAATATATAGTAAAACTTTTTTCTTTATTTTCATTCTCTTGAAAATTTAATTGGGGGGGGGGAACTCATGGGTTTAAACAAATCTTAAATTCATCACAGACTATTTAAGATACTTTAAACCTTTGCGGCACAGTGTGTCCGGTCTGGACACACCTAAAAATTTCCTTCTGTACGCAGAGAAAAACTGAATGAAAAAGGATTTATAGGTTACTCTGAACCTTCTTTATTTATAGTAGATGGCAGCTCAACACAAACCAGTCCATATATTTTAGCCATGTTTAGTTTTTTAAGACCCTCATTTTCCAAAGAAATCTTTCAGATTTTTTTTGGGGGGGTATAAAAGGAATTGCTTGAAAAGAAATTTCTATGTTATTTTTCTGGCTGTATGCTAATCTCCTTATTCTATATTAGTTTTAAATTTTTACCTTGAAATCTTGCCTAAAATAAAACGGCGAACCCTAGGTGTGCCCAGACCGAGCTCACCGATCATCTAGGACAACTGAGAGTCTGTATTCTTTGTTTCTCCGCATCTCATCGGTCAGTTCATTGACAACAATGCTCGTTTCAGCACTCTTTTCGAAGCTCTATTCAATCAGTGTGCCATTCTGGGCACACCCACAGAATCAAAACGATAAGTGCTATCTTCACAAAATTTTACTTGTGTACTCCTCTACGCCTAATTAAAAAAAAAAAAAAAACATAAAAACTCCAATTTTAAAAGGTAGCATGCCCAAAAGCGTTAATATGGTCTATTAAAAATATAGCAAGCAATGAATGATTGAGGCAATAAGGTTTTTCAGCAGAAAATAGATCTTCCTGAAAAACTTTTGATAGTAGTATTTTATATACGCATGAAGTAAATCATCATGGATAACAAAATCTATTCATCAATCTATTGCGTCAATCAATTGCCATAAACTAGAATCTGAAGACAGGGGGAAAAAAAACTGAAAGCTTTCATATTTTATATAATGCCCAAAGGGGCGTTTTTTTTCACATTTTGTGTGTTACCTTTATTTATTAAATAGCATGTTCTTTGCATTTAAACCATAAAATTCAATTCAACAGCAATATCACAAAACAATTTAAAAAGAGCATATCTTTTGAATTTCCGTTAGAGTCTTGTGGGCCGGAGATAAAAATAATTCTCCCCCCCATACAGTGTTGCCAATTGCTTGCTTTGAAATCTTTGAATTTGTTAATAAAAAATTCGTTAAAGTTTTAAAAATTATGAAAAAGATAATAAAACAAATTTCAAATTAGGGTTTCCAGATGCCCTTATTTTTGTGGAGGAGTATGTTATTCAAAATTTGATGTCTCTAGGTACTGTCGTTTTTTTCACTGTGCAAGAAACATACACACATTTATGTAGATTCTTCATTATTTAACTTCTTTAAATATAAGGCAGGGCTCTTATATTTGGTGGCAACAGTTTGAAAAGTGAAATGCCATTTATTGCAGCGCAAATTGCCAAAATGAAATTAATAGCCCTTCTGGGCAAATTGTCCCTTTGGGCTAATTATGACTGATTGTGACTAATATGATTCCAATAATTTTCAATTTACTTTTTATTTTGGCCTTCTGTCACAAAAATTTAACTTAAGATTTAAAGAAAATATTAATTTTGGGTTATAAGCTTTTGATACATAATGGAATTTCGAATTTGTTAGCAACTTTAAAAAATGGGGAGAGGAAGGGGAAGAAAGAGAGCTATTATGTTGTCTACAAGTATGCAAACAAATTTATAAAAGAGATGATATATTTTGAGAAAATGGCTGAAAATGAGAATGAGAAATGAGAAAATGGCCGAGAAACATTCGATGTAATTCACAACAATGGTTGGTTTATTTTTAATTAAACAAATTTCGTTTTTTATTTTATAAAAAGATTTTGCTGTTTTTATTTCACTTTCAACTCCTAGATAAAATATTTATTCTGTTTCATATTATGTTGGTGAACATAAGTGAATACTTTTATTCAACGTTAAATTGGTACGATTTTAAATAAGTGTAATCATTTCATGAGACAATCTCTCTTTTCATGAAATAATCTACCTGCGGAAGAAAAGACATGCATATTAGATTACTAATAATGCATTCTGACATATTTTTGAATATAAGGCAATTTAATGTTGAACCAGCTTAATTAAAGTCTCAGATCTCATAGTACTATACATTTTCTGATCAGTTTGACAGATAATCTCAAACAATTACTTACCATATAAGGCATTCTTGTTTAAAATTTTAGCCCAATATGGTGCAAGCACAGAATGAGCAGATCCTATAAAATAATAAAAAGCAGTATTAAAATTAAATATAATTCTTCCTTTACTACATAAAATTCAGAATTAGTAAATTAAAGAAAACAATACTTTTGTCACATGCCTTCTGTCAAATACTTTCCATATTAAAATTAAGTAAAAATGTAAACTTTCATAAAACTCTACCGAGTTTCTCAACAATCAGACACAGTTCCTCTTCTTAAGGAGAATTTTGTTCTTTTTACTTCATTGTACGAAGTAAAAAGGAAGTATTGTAACCGCGAAAAGTTTCAGGCATCATATTTCAATGAAAATATCCACTTTGATCGCTATTGAATGTACTTTAACGATGTTTTCGCATGACAGCTATATATAAGGATAGAATAGAAGACTCTTTCCCCCCAAAAAAAACTTTTTAAAACTGATTTAAAATGAATTCTGAAGAGAATTTTTCGTGGCGTCTGTGCGTACATACGTATCTCACATAACTCAAAAGTGAATAGCCTCAGAATGTTGAAATTTTGTAGATGTGCACCTCATATTTCGGTTGTAATCGGCCGCACCAAAAGTATACAAATATACGTATATATATATATATATATATCCACCTTGTTATATGGCTCAGTGATCTCAGTTTCTTTACTCTTATATGTTTGTAAATTGTGCATTTTTCACTTTCAAAATGATTGAATTATGTTGTTCTTATCTTCTGGTTAAGGTTTTTATTCTTTAGTAAATCTGCATGCAATATTAATTGAGTTATCAACAATTTAAAAGTTGTTTAAGTGCAGCTAAGCCTAATTATTTTTGCCATGGTGGCTGTGACTGTTTACATTCGAAACTTGACAGAATAGTGGATTTGTTGCCAATCTATTTAATCAATCTATAAACTTCACAACAACAAACATAATGCCTTCTTTTATTATTGTGAATTAAATCATGCTTAATCCATTCTGGAATTTATTTGAGGAAATGAGTGTTTAAGATTTACTTCGTAATTTTAATATACATATTTTAAGTTTATGTATTTTTGCCTTGTCGCAAAATAAGAACTGAATTAATTGAATGAGAAATACTCAATCGTCTGTGAAAAACTGTTTCTTTTTTTGTTTTGTTTGCTTAATTTCTTTTATACATCGTTCTAGCTTTATTATAGTATTTGAATAGAACATGTGGCAACGATTTGATAATTCTTTAAATGATATCAAATTTGTGCATTCTCAGTTATAATATGAACAAAATATAATACTGTTAAGTGAACCTAGCGCCACACTGTCGCTATGGTAAAAAAATACAGTGAATTTTAAAGAGTGCATTTATTCTATTGTGGTTTATATGCTATCGATGAAGTAGATTTAATTCAATCCAATAAGTTTAAATGAAATGCAAGAAAAAATGCATAAAATTTAATATTCTGCATAAGGAAGTCCTGTGGTGTACACATCAGATTTTTTTTAAAAGTGAAGATGGGAGAAGCAACAGTAATTTTGCATCAAAAGCAATGAGCAGAGCAAAGTGAAAACCATCACAGTACAACTTCTCAACGGATACAGTAATAAAACAGGAAAAACTAGCTACCAGAATAAATAAACTACTAGAATTTTGAAAGCATTATGAGAAACTGGATTAGAATTCATGTCAATAAATAAAGAATAGTAATTTTTTTCTGTAAAAACAGCCTAGAAAATCCAATTCACAAACTCAATTCTTGTTTTTTTAATATTTTTTATAGAACCAAAAAATCAGAATTGTGATTAAACGCCGAGTTTTATTAGTAAGATTTATTTACTTCTTTTTGAACATTTGATTCTGTTCTTCAATGTGAAATTTTAATGCTCTTTTATTGTAACTGATGTACATCAAGCTATACTCTAAATTCTCCAAGAATCAAAACCGGAGATGGGATCTTTAGGAACTGAACAACAAATTTTACTAATAAGATAAGAAAATGACATGAAAATTATAAATATGCTTTACCTTAGCAGATGGTTATCACATGAAAAACAAATTTTTTTTAAAGAACTATTGATGTCTAACTAAATATCTTCGATAGCAGTATGTCTCAACTGGATTCAATATGTTCTCGCGGACCGGTAAGTTTAATAATTCGACCACTGGGCCCATTTTTGGACAGATAGCTGGATATTTCACGGACCAGCAAATATTTCTTGCAGACCGGTGGTTGAGAAACACTGTTCTATAATATTCTACTCAGAATTTGAAACAACAAATATCCATGCAACCTAGTGATATTGCCAAAGCTCAACCCATTCCAAGTATCACATAATCTTTTATTTTCCCTAATATTTCAATATGTTCTTGCGGACCGGTAAGTTTAATAATTCAACCACTGGACCCATTTTTGGACAGATAGCTGGATATTTCACGGACCAGCAAATATTTCTTGCAGACCGGTGGTTGAGAAACACTGTTCTATAGTATTCTACTCAGAATTTGAAACAACAAATATCCATGCAACCTAGTGATACTGCCAAAGCTCAACCCATTCCAAGTATCACATAATCTTTTATTTTCCCTATAAATCAGTGTAACAAACTATTTTAAAAACAATATAAATGTACAATTCAATGATACACATCTTTACTTAATATTTTTTTTTTTTTTTTTTTTTCAGAACACACCTAATGTACACTTTTTATAAATGTTTGTACAGGTAATATAATTGATAACAGACATTACTACTTTACATTAAATTTAAGAAACACACCCACAGTTCAATTAAAAAATAATTGTTCATGTGCCATTTGTAATACATTTTTTATACATTTATTTTATAAGATACTTCAAAATTTTCCCCAAATTTTATAAGAGTTATTTTAGAAATTTCTCTGTTACTCAATTTCACATTTCTTGAGAAATTAAAAGATTTACTTCTTCTACAGAAACTGAGAAAACATACTTCTTACCTGACAATTAATGAACACTTACATGGAAGTGGTATTATGATCTTGCCTCAGTATTATCACAAAAACTTATTATACTTGATGCCATAAGAATAAATAAGATATTTACTAATAGACATTTAACATATTAAGTACCATTTGCATCCAAATACACACAACATAAATTAACAAGCCATTTGTATTAGTTTAGACACTGTGACATGCATTTTTAGTCGCATGTACTCTAAATGAAATAAATTCTATGTATAATTGAATTAGACAATGGTTTTATATGGCTCAGTGGTACATAAAACTGAAGTGGGCAAAATAAAATTTTTTGTCCTGATGGACCTTATGCACCCAAATGAATTTAAACCAATTATAGTCTAAAACAGATATAACAATAATAATATATTTTATACATATATTATGTGACATGAGGGAACATTTATGATACATTAATCAAAAAATAATAATGGCCTAAAAACAACTTTTTAAAATATGGTGGTGCTCAAAAAGATAACACCAGAAAAAGAATAATCACCATAAAAAATATGATTTGAAAAATAAAAAGAATAACCCCAATTCTTATAAAAGAATTATCTTATTGATCCCCCAAACAAGTTGCTCATAGATTAATATAAAAAAAAGTCCTACAAACATACAACAGGATCCATAAATGTCATAAAAGAACATTCCCTTCAATTTTTTACTCAGGCTGTTCTCAATTTAAAATGAGTGCCATATCATTTATAATTTAGTATCCTGTTGTAATTTAGTAATGGTAACCAAATTACAATGAGATAAGGGTAAAATCAATTCTGATATAAGTTGAAACTTCTTTTGCTCTTCATAATAATTTTTTATTTAACATAAAATGAGTTTAAGATTGTATAAACTTAGCTAATAAATAATTTATTTGTACGCATACACATATACCTATTTAAAATTAATACATGCTCTTCCTATGTTATTTCACAATTACTTTTTTGCTAGTATGAACTAAGATATCATGCTCATTATGCCCTTTCACTGCTTCCTATAGAAGCAGCTTTTTCCAAATCCATTCACCTGAGACTTCTTTCCACAATATTCCAATATTTTGAATACACTGAAAAATTTAAGATTTTTTCCAAAAATCATGTAATGTATCTGCATCACACACAAACACTTTTATGTCTATGTCTATTACTTCCACAACACACAATTAATGAAAATAAACTATACTGGTAAAAGTCACATGTTTAGTAGGTGCAGAAATGCTTTCATGGTCAAAATTCATACAGTCTACAAGATGATGGTTATGTGTATATACAGAGGGTGTTTACATATTTTTGTAAAGATTTGGATTTTCTCCATGAATTTAAATATTACTTTTAAAGTACAAACGTGAAATGCATCAAAGTAGAATAAAGTTTCATTATTGCCTGTAGCATCAAAAACTATTCTTTTCTTTAAAATGTCACTGAAAAATATACAATGGGTCAAAGACTATATTTTTTAGCTGTCCTAAGAGCTTTAGCTTTTTTAGCTGTCTTCTTATTCAATTATTAAAAAAGATGTGAAAAGGACAGTTTTTAATTTTCCTACATGTAAAATAAGTGGCATAATTAATATGAAAGGAAAGAAAGGTCAAGGTTTACATGTGAATGGGAAAAAAGCAAAAAATGTATACCCAACAAAGGTACACACAGCTCTTATTAAATATAAAGTCACATCTCATGTTTTAAAGGCATTCCAGCCCCCCAAAGAGCTATTTCAAAATATTTAAATATTACTATAGGAACTGTGAACAAAATTATAAAATCTGATTTAAAGGTGATAAAAAAATAATGCCAAAACATGTTTCTCAGTGTAAGACTGTGTGCAGATTGCTGTATGAAAATTATTTGGCAGGTGAAAAATGGAAATACATAGTTACTATCGACGAGGCTTGGATATACTTATCTGATTGCAATAGAAAAAGATCGATTTACTACCAAAAAAGAAGAGAAAAAGACTTGGTTTAGAGAAAACAAAGAAAGTTTTTCTAAAGGTTTTATATGGTTATTACTGAATTCTCTTATAGCAGAAAGCTTAAAATAAGGAAAGTAGAAAAAAATGCCCCAATCAATTCAAATTACAATCAGAAATATGTTTTAACACCTATTTTTAAAGAAGAAATTCCATCTCTTTATCTAAACAATCTTCACTGTGTTATGTTCCATCAGGATAAGGCTCCGCCACCCAACAGCGTTGCTGACTACCGTGTTGAAGGAACCAGGTTCAAATACAGGAGAAGGAATGGATATTTGTAAATGCATAGTGTCAGTGCAGCATGATGGCACTCTAAATATGCGGTGAGCCAAAAGCCTCTCATGTGGTTTAGTGGAAGGTGTGAGGGGTGGGAGACTCTCGGATCTGTTCCTCCCCCCAGGGTGCTCTCCATCACAATTGGGGGTGGAGTTGGGCTAGATTGGACTGTCACCTGTATGGTGCTCAAGGCTGTTGCCAACGGCAGGCATATCTTGCGCTTCCTGCCACGAGGAATTTCGTAGGCTTGGGCTGATGCTAATAGCAGACAAGTGAGCATAAGTAACGACAACAACAAGATAAGGCTCCAATCTATAACTCTAAATCTACTGCTCCATTAAAAAAAAAAAAAAAAAAAAAAAAAAAAAAATTCAGAAATGAAACTGGAATTGAAGTTATTCCCTTTAACCTTTTAACTGTCAAGTTATTTTGATGATTTAGGTGTATAAATTGTCAATTTTTTTTTATTCCAAAAATGAAATGTTTGCCTCACAACAAAAAAAAAAAAAAAAAAAATACCACGCACTTTGAACTGTAACCTCTATCCTTTGAAACCTTCAGTTAAGTGCTGTCATCTGTTGAATTGAAGCCGAAATAAAACGTCTCATATATATTCGGGTATAACAATACGATGCACTCAAAAAAAATTAGCCCGAGTAATATTCGGGTTTCACATTTTGGAATAACAGTGCTGTATTCCAAAATGAATAAAACCCGAAATAATCTTGGGCATGACAGTTAAAAGTTTAAATGCATCCCGCCCAAGTCCCTGAAATGGTTGAAATGAATCTTCCATGGATTACCGTGCATTTGGAATTTTAAAAGAAGCTCTTTATAAGTGGCATCCCAAAACAATGGATGGACTCTGGAAGACTGCAAAGGAGGAGTGGAATAAAATCAACCTCAATGTTTTAAGAAAAGGACTTTTATCTTGGAAATCAAGATGTAATATGATAATTCAGCAAAAAGGGCTATCAGGCTGAACATATTAGAAAATAAAATTCTAAGATTTGTTTAGATATAAATCTTTGCAAAATTGTTACTAAAATGTGTGAACACCTTTTGTACTGGCAGTATATTGAATTAGAAGATATTTCATATTAATTTTTGTCCATCGTAAAAACAAGTCATTGTAAATCTAGGACTACCTGTATTTACTTATTTTTAATACTTTAATTAGTTAGACCTTACAGAGAGAAAGGAAGAACAGTATAATATTGCATTTTCTAAATATTATGAATAATTAATATTGTGTAACAATTTCTATAATTTATGCATAATTTCAAGTATATTTAAACGAGAGTTGATAACATAGGTATGATGTTGCTAACAGAGGTATAAACGTTTATAACACAGATATGAAGTTGATAACATAAGTATGATGTTTAAAGTTTATAACATACTTAACAAAAAGCTATATTTTACCAGTGACAGGATCTTCTGATATTCCGAGCCATGGCACAAAATAACGAGATATAAAATCATAGGCGTTTCCATCACCATCAAGACAATCATCCATGCCAGATCCTTTCAAAGTTACAATAACACCTCTAACATCCGAAGATGCAGCCAAAAGTTCACCATCTTGTGGCTTTAACTGTTCCAACCTTTGCCTGATAATTGAAACAAACGAAATAAATAAGTACATATATTCACATCTGAAAGTGTTCAGATTTTAATGAGTACCTAAAATAGCTCTTTTGGAGTTTAATATGATTTATCAATAGAGGTGGCTCAAGTGAAGCAGTGAAACATTTCACAGGATATTAGATGATGATGATGATATCAGATCAGAACTTAGATTAACATGAAAACATAATGAATCTTCAGTACATTTAAAAAGTGAAAAATAGACAGTAAAATGTCGTTAGTTCGGACACCCATAATTCGGAATGATCTATAATCCGGACCTCAAAACTAAAAACTTTCTACGCATGCGCCGCGTTGACACATGCGCATAGGCGTTTACGCATGCGCATAAGACCTTTTACGACTGCGCATATGAGTGTGCGCAAGTGCAGAATACGTTTTCGCGTGCGCGTTTTATGTATAATGGACATATAAGCTAAATAATTATCTACTTCAGTTAATGTTGATGATTGCGTTGTTCCTTAATTTTCGAATTGGATCCGGCTTATTATTTTTTGCAGACTGTAAGACCAATTTTATAAAAGTAAGTTTAAACTTTCGATTATATCAAATAGAATTTCCGATATATATTTGTTAATATGTAAAGGATCTAAAGCGAAAGTATGTTTTGAAATGCGAAATCTGTTTATCAATTTCACGCTGCTCAGCGGGGGGGGGACGCTGCGGGGTGCGCATAATGAATTGGAAGTTGATCTGTCAGCACTATCCTTATCTTCAGGGCAGATATTTTTATTTTATTTGGCTTATAATTCCTTATCAAATGTAGTATTTCATCTCGATGTGCTCCATCTTTGATATGATTTAAAACAAGTTCCTCTTCATTATAATTCGCTTCCGATAGCGAAGAAAGTAACAGAGGTTATTGAAAACGGAAAAATTTCGATTGACAAATTATTCAGTATTCTCGACACAGCAATTATAGGACTTGAACAGCGGAACTTTGTAACTGAACAAGAAATTATGTCTGTTTAATAGAATTAAAGAGAAAGTATTATCACATGAAATGAAGCAAAACTTAAAAACAACTTACATTGAAAGAAATGTTTAATAAACAAATAAATATTAAGCTTTTTCTTTTTGGAAATTTTGATACCCTTTAGATCATAATTGTTCTTTATTTCATAAATTACGGTTTCATACTTTTAATTTTAGAATTTCTGCATGCCATCTTACGAGATAACAGTTAAGTTTAAACAGTTAAGTTTATTCATCAATAACAGATTAAGTATGAAGGAATAATGATTTACATTTTTTCTGAACGGCAATAAACACAAATGAAAAGTAAAGCAGCACAAAAATCCCATTTTGAGACTAATGGCCCTTTTGGATTTAAAATAAATTTATGCTTCTAGCATTTCACATGCTGAAATTCATAGAAATTACAAATTTTGCGCTGGAATCCAAAGTAACTGCAATCTAGTACCCAAGCATCGGACTCCAATCTAGATCAGATTCGCTTCTAAATTTTACACAACAGTACTAAGATGGTGAAATATTTACACTTAATTTTGTATGAAAACCCAACATAAGTACTGTTTTTACTGCCAAATCTTTTTTGACTTTGAACGTACACTTTGTTTCATGACATGCATAAATTCAATAAAAAGAGACAAAGTGATATTAAAAAAGTCATAAAATATTTAGAATTAAGTCAGAGAAACAGTCTGAATTTTTCTTAGATTATGCTTAGATTTTAATTTAGATAAAAGGAAAGAAATTTTATTAATATAGTTATTTTAATAACTGAAAAGATGCTTCTTTGCCATAATTTTTAAAGATGTTTTGACACAACAATGCACATCATTACTTAGAATTTTGTAACAGTCAATGAAGTGCAGCATACAGATATTATTAATGACATATTTCCTCACTGAAAACACACTTTGATTTTCGAAGCTATACACACTTTGATTTTAGGCCAAATCCATAGCTCAAAAATTCTTAATAACAATGCCATTTCATTAAATTGTATGGTGCTGAGCAAGAGAGCCTGAAAGACTAAAGAATTCGACAGAATTAGCTCTCTAATGCCCAAACCATACCTGAATATCAATTCGGTGAAAATCAGCATCAACAGTTTTTTAACCTTCCAGCACGTGTGCTTGGCAATTTTAAATGAGCATGCGTGCGTCGTATTCTTTACAACGTCCGTTATTTTACTGTTTTTTGGCCCGAAAAACGACAGAAATGAGTGAATATTGACAATAAATTTGTTAAGAAATAAAATATTAATCTTATTATTGCAAAATACAAATTAAATCACATTTAAATATAAGAAAATTATTTTAAAATTCTTTATGTTAGTGAGATGGAAATGCAATGATGTATTTCATTATAGAAAATTTAAAATTTATTATTTAATAATTATTTTAAAATCGAAGCTAATTTTAATATTCATCGAAGAGAAGTATAGACAATAAGAAAGGAAAAAACCTTGGTAGAAAAAAAAGTAAGTTTAGCATTACCTACTTCTGCAAGGAAATTTACTTCTTACTGGTTACAAAAACGCACTTTAAACTAACTTTAATGTTTTTATTTATTTCTAAAAGATAGAAATAAAAGAAAATAAGGAATGGAAATCGCTATTGTTCTCCCATCCAAAGGTTTCCTTGCCTTCCTTTTCTTCATCAGATAATTCTTGAAGAATCCAAGCAAAATCAGCTGGTTGTACATTTTTTTTTTTTTTTTTTTTTTTTTTTTTTTTTTTTGCCATGAAAACCAATATAAGAATTTACAGAGCCAAATGCATTCAAATTAAAATAATACAAGGCAATTGATAACAAAATTACAAAATATTTGAGAAAAAAAAAATTACGAACCTTAAAACACGACCACTCGTGTGTCGTAACTTTTATGAAAAAGTTGCCACGCAGCTCAAAAGCCCAGGAAAAAAAAAGTCAAATGACTTCCTGTTGGCACATTCCACGATGTGGTAAAGGGTAGAAAGGAGGAATAGAAATGACCTTCAGACGTCTCAGCTTCGATATGCGAAAAATGTACATTAAAAACTGAATTTATCATAAATTTTTTGCATACGTGTGTGCTGGAAGGTTAAAATGAGAATCATTAACAGTTTTTTTTTAAAATAATCAAATTTGCTGCAATACTAACTGAATTTTATTTGTTATTTGATAATAACTCTATATTAATAAAATTTCTTTCCTTTCATCTAAATTAAAATCTAAGCATTATCCAAGAACTGTTTTTCTGACTTAATTCTAAATATTTTAACTTTAAATCAATCTTACAATTGGATTAGTCATTAGGATATTTTGAAGCAGGAGATGCAAAAAACAAGTAATGCCCTTGCCGGGACTGAAACCTCGGACTTCCGGAATATGCGTCGAGTGTGCTTCTAATTACATCACGAAGGCATGCAAAAAGGGGGGAGAAAATACCATACAGGATCTTCTAAAAATTTCAAACCACAAACTATGACATTTTGCATATTAGCACACTTTAGCCACACAAATCTGGAAACAAATTTATATTTTGTTTGTCCAAAAGATTTGGAAACATAAATATCAGTTGGCAACATTTTTTTTAGTTTTCATTTGTGTTAAAAAGGGCAACAGTATCTACTACAGAAGTATCTTCAATACTTTTATCATTCAATGCATTTTCAAAGGAAAATTTCATTTAGTGTAAATACCTCACTTCAGATCAGAATGATTATTTTCAGACACTAGTTAAAATATTCATCAAACTTCTGCCGACAAAATTGTAGTAATTTGCTAATAAAAGGCAATTTTAGAAATGTTTTCATTATGCTATCAATATGAAATTTACAGGAATAGCATATATAAATATACATGTATTGTTCCACAATTTAGGAAAATCAATCTCTTTTAAAATTTTGGGCCTGGGGAGCAAAATCAAAGGAAATATTAGCTTATTTCCTAGTTCAAGCTGTAATAAGACTTTGAATTTTTGTGGAAAATCCAAGTCCCAGTGACAAAAATTTACATCTGCCTAATTTAAAAAAGGAATGGAATTTGGATATGGAAGGGGACACGCTTTAGTAAGACAAATATAGCTCTATCTTATAATAATATTGGTGATAAGCTACTAAACATCAACTAATTTAAAGAGCAACATGAATTCAGAAAGAGGAAATCCTACAAGAAATATGAAAAATAATTACTAATTGACTAACAGAATCTCAATACCTTGTACAATCATCTCTTAAACGTATTAATAACTTTTCAGAGTCAGACAACACTACTTCTTGATAAGGGCAAGATCCAATGGCAGCCTACAAAAAAAGATAACACTATGAACATAAAATGAAAGCATATAATTGGTGTTAGTAATATTTCATGCTTTTCCTGCAATAACTGCAACATGAATAATAGAAAATAGACAATATTTACTCACCTTGATAAGCCCTTCATAATTTTCTATTGCCTGCAATTTAATAAAATTATCACTTTATTAAATAAATTAGTAAACTTAATATTAAAATGAAAGTCTGAAGTATTAGATTAAAGGTAATATTTGATAGGTCCAATGGCAGGAAGATCTTCTCAGAGCTTTAGTTGGTTTCATTCAAATTCAAATTTTTATATGTTTCACGATTACTTTTGGTACTAATATTAACATATACTTTAAAACAAAGTAATATATGCAGTGAAATGATGTTCCTTCGTATTTTACTCTATGAAGCATGCTTACTGCAATGTTGAAACTGCAAAATCATGCTTAATTGAATTATTAACTAAAGTGCTGAAAACTTGTTAATAGTAAAGATAGAATTACAGGTATAGTAAATGCATTTCTTTAAATAAAACTGCTGTTTTAATAGATGCTGCTTATTAGTACAGTAAACAACAGTGGTTCCCAAAGTGTAGATCAAGAAAAGCTTTAAATTTTTTCAATACAATTACTCACATTATTGAAAATTATTAATTAATGATAATCATTTATTAATTATTAGTTCATTATTTTGTTCTAAGTCTCTTGCTCTTTTCTTGAAAGCAGCCATATTTATTTACTTGTAAAGTTCGAGTTAATAATATGGCGAATAATGATTATCGGTGGAAGTAAAGTAACAAGAATCCACGTAATATTTGTCAATTTCCAGGACTCATTTCAAAGATTTAAATATAGAACCTTTGAAACTAGCCCTGCAAATTGACAAATATTACACTGATTATTGTTAGCTTTAACTCCTCCAATACTTGTTAAGCATTTAGTTTTGGTTTATGAATATTAAAACCAACACTTTCTATACTTTTTCTTGTTTGAGTAATAAAATACATTAAAAAAATAACCTAAATTTAAATAATTGTATATATATTTTTTGTGTTTTGGAAAGGAAAGGAGAATGTCTTGCAATGGTGAAAAGGGAGCATGGGGCAAAAAAAGGTTGAGAACTTACTGTTTGGACATATAAGCACACATAAACACAAATGCCAAAGAATGATTCTCACACTATTCCGTGATCATACAAAAAGGAATGGTTCCTTAAAAGTATATTTTCTTCCATTCGTAAAGCATAGGTTCAAAGGATAATAAATTTTATCATGAAAAATAATTTCATAAATGCATCTATTTTTAGGAGACTAGGATAACAAAAAGCAACTTCACAGTACTGTTGCTTTACCTTCAAAATTCTCTGTGTTATGAGATGCAAGCGTAGCTCTCAATTCTTGGAAAACCAGGATCCACAAGCATACTAAAATCATATTGTGCCATGCATCAAGCCAAAGAACCATCCGTGAAAGAATTTGAAACACTTCTTTCATTCCATTCAAGTTCTTTTGAAACACTTCTTTCATTCCATTCAAGTTCTTAGATTAAACTACGAGACAGAATTCTGGTTCAAGGCTGATGCTATGATGGATATTTCTGGTATTTAGGGAAAGAGGAAGTACAGAATAGATTCTTACAAGCTTAAACAGACGATCTGTCTTTTAGGAAACAGAAAATTTTTATCCTTATCAGTTTGTTTTGTACAGTATTTAAAAGACAGCCACAGTTCTGTGTTTTGAATGGAGAATTTTGCATTCTTTTAATTTCTTTTCCAAAATTTAGGATTCTTTTTTTTTTTTTTTTTTTTTTTTTTTTTTTTTATTAATAGCTATTGCATCTTTTGTAAACAACATTATATATATCCAAAGGGGAATAAATGTGTTCTTATAGGACACTGGACAGAAAGAAATTATATTCACCTATTATATTTTCCAGAAGAGCAAAATTTTACATATTCTTTTACTTAACTTATTTCACTCAGAACTGAGGAAATTTTCTAAATAAAAAATTCATCCGTATGCCGCCCTGCATATACATAGCATTCTGCATTGAAACTGAGATGCATATTATTCAAAAAATACAGAATGGATATAGCCAATTTGATATCTGCCAGAAATACAACTTAGCCAGATTTATAGCTGGTATCACATGTAAAAATCCAGACTCAATAATTTTTACTCACAGGGGAAAAAAAGGATAGGAGGGAAAAGATAAGAAAAGCTAAGCTTAAGGATGTTGAAAAAGCACTGATGAAATGGTTTTTGTCATATAAAGAAGGCCACAGTCTGCAAGTATCTGAACAAATGTTTCCTATAAAGGCCAAAGAATTTGCCAAACAGTTTGCACAGACTGCCTTTCCGTGTTTGATTTACTTGTTGGAGGGGTTCACCAAGAAGAATAGTATTTCTCAAGGAAAAATGCTTGAAGAATCAAATTGCATTTCCAAATTAAATATTGAGAAATGGGAAAAATATGATATCATTCGCCAATGCAAAAGAAAAGATATTTTCAATGCTAAACTGTTCTACATGATGAAGCCAGTTTAAAATTTAAAGACCAAAGATGTCCTCATGGAAAATTGTTAATATTACGTGTGCTTTTATGAATGATACTGAGCAAAACAAAATTTCAGTAAATTAAAAATCTCCAAAATCCCGATGCTTAAAAACTACGAAAATTCTTGCTGTTTTCTATAAAGCCACTTGTAAGATGTCAGTGATGTTGGATATATTGAAAGAAAAGCTATAAGTAGGAATAAGAATTTTTAGCTCAAAATCAAAGCATTTTATTCTTGATTGACAGCTACTAGAATTCTGGTCTACTATTGACTGTGGATCAAGGCTGTTCTTTTGCCCCCAAGTGTAACTTTGATCTTGAACCAGAATGATCAGGAGCTTGCTGTAACTTTTATTCATTTATTAAGCATTTTGGAGAAGTATGACGATCAAACAGATTATAGCATTTTAAGTCTCGATAAAATGTAACTAAAACCTTACCAATTTATTACAAAATCAGACATCTGAAAGTGCTTTTGGGATGCCAATCAAGCAAAGGTTGCTGAAGGGGAAAGTGATGAAAATTATCGAGAGTCTAGAAAAAATGGCAGTTCACTATTTTCAGAATGTGATATGGAAGTTGTCTCAAACAAGTGAATAATGATGTTACTTCAAGCAGAGATCCAAGTGGTGAAGATATTGTGACAGAAATTAAAACAATAAATGCTGACATTGAAATATCTTCTGATGCTGATGAAAATTTTGAAGAAACACAATATATGGGAAACTGAACTCTCTACCAACTACTATGAGTCTCCTGAATAATCTGTTGTTCACACTAACTGTTGAACAAAAAATGATGGGGTCTTTTCCTTTTCGGACCACCAATATAGATAAAATTTTCCTGCAGTTAATTTTTAATCCTGCTAATATAAAATTGCACATTATTTTTGCACTCAAAAGTGAAGCAAAACCATAAGTTTTTATGCTAGGTAATTTATCATGTAAAATTATTAACATATGGTAAGATTAAAAAACATTGAGAAAGAAATTCAGTAACTGCATACAATAATAATTAAACTAATTCTTAATAAGAATTTTTAAAACAGGGTTATTATTAATTTTTTTGAGGGAAGACATGACATCTTTCCCTTTTTCGTGATTCAACAATACTCTTATAGTTAGTTTTTCAAATGAAAAGCAGCTAGTTTTTTGTTTGCAAGATGACAATACATGCAAACTCACAGCAGGTTAGCATTCAGTTGATCCAAAATAATGAGATTTTATGTAACAGAACTTTAACTTTTTAAGGAAGCAATCTTAACTAAATAAACAGAAGACAATTAACTTTTTACAGTCAAGAATGAAATTTATTACTAAAGCAAATATATATATATATAACTAAACTTAGGCTTTATTGAGAATTTGAACGATCCAAATCAAGCTTTAAAATATTTGTTTCAAAATTTAATATTTATAACTGAATGATACATAATATTTTCTTTACAAAATCTAAAAGAAAATTTCTTCCACACATCAACAAAGTTTAAAATTTTTAAAATTTTATTTGCACTTTAGCAGTTGACGATGATGGTTTGGTAAAACCATCGAAACTAGTTCTGCAAAAATTTGCAAATATAAAGCTGATTTTGTTTGACTTCTATGTTAAAGTTTGTTCAGCATGTTATTTTAACCTAAATTACAAACATGTTAGTTATTTAAAATTTTATAAAGTTATGTTAAATTACAAACATGTTATTTTTTTATAGACATAAAAAGAAATCTAACCACAGGAGAAGATTCATATGCAGGTAAATTGATTTCTATTTTTCCATTTGGTAATTTTTTGGCTGTCAAGATGCCACTAGCTGTATCAAATTCCAAAATGTCCGAGTGATTGTCTGAAAGTAAAAAAATTTAAAAATTAAAAAAATTCCAAACCAAAAAGTGAAAGTTTATTTCATAAAAAGTAATGGTACTTTCTAATTATTCACATTCCCACAGGAAAGTTTAAAAAAAAAAAAAATACTCATGATTCAGAGTAGTCGGCAAAGTAGTTACGCAGCTACCCACAATGTTGTCAAAAAGAATTCAAACCAGGTATGCACATAGAACATGTCTGTTTTGGCACAGTGCAATAGCAATGTTTTACAGAGCCTTAATTGTTCAATTCTCTGATCTTTTTAAATGGAAACAGATTGATGTGGGCATGGGTAGAAAAGGGAAAAAGAAGGATTTCTCTTTCTTTATTAATGATGCTTCTTGCATTTTCAATTTTATCGATAAATTGTTCTTGCATGCAATTCTTTGTTTGCTATCATTTTGAAAATGGCCATAGCCTATTCTGAATTGATTGGCAAAAAATTAGTCATCAACAAATTCATGAATTCTCTCCAAAGTCATCAATAAGTTTGCAACTTTTTGGTGAGGGAAGTGGATAAGGATAATCAAAAAGTACTGAAATAATTTCTAGGCAATTAAATAAAAACTAAAAAGTAGCTGATGGTTATCTCATGAAGAGGTATAAGAAGGTGTATTACCTTGGAGTATTAAGATAAGGCTTTTTTAATACATTTTTAAATTTTTAAAGATTTAAAAAAAATGGCTATCAAATTTGTTTTAGAATAATTAAAACAAAATGATCAACTACGAACATGTTTTCAGTATGCTAATGTTGTCTTCATAATACATCAAATTGCATATCTACTCCTCCCCTCCAATAAAAAAGGAATATAGTACATAATTTGTAATTTGTTACTTTATATTATTAAACAAACATACATTGAAAAACTTTAAGTAATTTTGAAAGCTTGTTTCTCATCCAAGCATACTGTCAAAATGCCAATGGTATTTAGTCAATAAATCGAGAAATGAAGATAAAAGATGCCTAATAAGTATAATGTAATCAGCAAGATTTTTAAAAATGATCAAACATACACTGAATGTCCCAGGCAACAGAAAACAATCAAATACCTAAACAGCCACTTTATGATGTGTTGCATATGAACCTGTTTTTAAATTTCAGCATCCATACTTCCCTTTCTGTATAAAAACAAGATGCAAGATAATAATACTTTTCTTAAAACAGAGCCCTCTCATTGCTTTAATTTTCATGCAATACATAGCCATTCAATATTCAGCACCTTTGCTTCCTCCACAATACTCTATACATCATCCATGCTTTTCTCAATATCTGTCTCTTTTCAACAACTGGAGAAAAAACATTGGTTCTCTGTTGTCTCAATAAATATACATATATTGCACTACCATCCCCCCAAAAAAGAGAAAGTCAGGGAAAGGAAAAAAAAAAAAAGACTGCATATAAAAAAACTGCTGTTGGTTAGCATGGGATTTATATGTTACATTATTGTTGCCACAGCAGGAGATATAACATCTTTTAATTTATTATTCATGACTACTGGAAAATAGTCAATTTTTAAAATTCTGCTATGTGATGCACTTCACAATCTGTAATTTATTATAAACTTACCTTAACTTTGTTACAATTTACAAAAAAATATAATACACAAAACTGATAATTTCAACAAATATTTGTAGCAATATTTTATATATAATACATTTCTAATGTCATATTTATATGCCTGGTACAGAATTATTCATTATTTTTAAAAACATGTTTTTAAATTTACAAACAGTTATTAAGTTTCAGAGTCTTTCTAACATATATTTTATTAATTTTTTTTTGAAAATTTTTGTTCTAAACATTGTAACTTTTCATAATTTCTAGTAACATTTGACTTTGATATATTTGGTATTAGAATGTGTGCAATTGTGTTCTGGTTACTTTAGCACCTCGAGGACCTACGAATGGGTATTCCTTACAGAACAGATCTTCTAGTCTGTCAATGCTTACATTCATTTGTACTGCATATAAATTTAGATGGTGACTTGTTGTGTCACAGTTATGAATATTTAATTTGAGTCATCAAAAAGTCTATGCAATGATGGCAAACTTTCAATGTAGGTTATATCAGTTATGAAACAATAGGAGAATGGCTAAATTTCATAGAATCTAATATATAGAACAATCTCAGTAGCAACATATGATGCAAAACAAATAAAGATAGCATATCAGTGCTAGGATTACATTTTATGAAGAATCCTTGCTAAATAACTAGTGGAATCTAAGTTAACAAAATGGTTCAGCAACAGTAATTTTTCCAAGCAATTAAAATAACTTCCCAAACTATAGCTGGAGTGAATTTGAGGCTATTATAGCTTTCTATGAAAACAATGATTTCTATTTATTCACATCCATTTTCCCCAGAAAAGAACTTTATTCCTTAGCACTTACATAATCTCAAATGCCTGCTTAATGTGTCAAGAGCAATTTTGTTTAGAATATATGAACAAAAAGTGAATGTTTATCAGATATTATTTTTTTCAACCGGAATAGAAAACGTTCAATTAATTTTTAAAAATACTTTTGACATTTTGCAATATGTTTACCTTAAAATAAATATGAAAATGGAAGGAACATTTAATTTCCATCAAGTAACATGAATCGTAGATTCTTTTCTATAAGTAATTTTTTCCAAATTGTAAGCTGTACAATACGTACTTAGTATGAAGATTAAAAATGTGTTGCGAAAAATCTGTGTTCCAGAAAACTTTATATAGCAAACTGACTAAATCAGTAAAGAGCTCTTACGACCCAAAGATAGAATTTACATAAAAAATGGTGGCAGTACAGCTTGTGGGTTAATTTCAGAGAATAAATCCTTTTTTTTTTTTTTTTTTTTTTTTTTTTTTGCAATGAAAGCATAAAATACTCATTTTATACTTGTTTATGAGAACAAATTTGCTTTTTTGTTTATGATATGAAAATAGTATAATTTCAGCATGGTTTGGCAAGATTTAGCATCATGTTCTGTCCTATTCAAAATTTATTCACACATGCTCATTTGACAGTTTGGTATGAATCAAAAATTTTTTTCCAATACACAAAAAATAAATTGAAAACTTTAACAGAACACATGTAGTCAAAGGGAAAATGAAACAAAAAAACTTATACTAGTGATAATTTTGCTAAAACTTTTCATTTTTAATATCTACAGTTTTTTTTTTTTTTTTTTGTAATCACAAAGGTTCCCCCCCTTTTTAAAGACTTAAAATTTTTTTTATTCTTTCGAACACATTAATCATCGACCACACATCAGTCCTAAATGCTCTCATTTTACATTTTAATGTTCTTTAAAAAAGTGAAAGAAATGACCAAAAACAGTTACTGAGAGCTTGTTGAATTTTTTGCATAATACTTCATTGCAAGTTTTTGTACAGCAAGCAAAGTTTACTATTATGCAGCTATCAGAATAGACACATTCTAATATTTTACATCATCTTCAACATAGTTAGTTTGGATTACTCTAATTAAAAATTTCTGAGTATTCATTGTCTCGAGTTTACAATTACTTTATCATTATTTTATAAACATAATGTACCAGATGAATGTAATATCGTAATCGAACTGTTATTAGAGACTTACTAGAGTCCCACAACCTATTATACAACTAGCGAGTTATCACTACATCTTAAATAGCATGACAGAGACTTGCAAAGATTTAAACAACCTTTTTATTAAATGAACACTAACAGAAAATGGCATGACTTGAGTTACAAATAACTACTACTTGAGGCGATGTAAATTAATCAATAACAGGTACTTCAATATAAATATTGATCAAGGTAGTCTAAGATGACACAGTCAAATAAATAAGCTAAAAGTTGGATCAACTAGCTATTACTAGAACATAACTTTAAAGCTAATGGCTGCAAAACCATGCAAAGCTAAGATTATATAGAGCTGGCAGAAGTCTAACAGAGCTAGGGAGTGCCAGAAGCTCTTTCTCTCAGATAAAAAAAAAACCTCAAAATATACTTAAAACTGATATGCTTTCTGGTGAGGCATATGAAACAAAAAAGTTAAAGTAAATATCAAGTCAGAATCATAACAACTGGTTAATTAAAATGGTAAGGACCTTATAATGTTACGATACAAAGAATTTCACAAACAACAATGAATTCTATGAATTTTCTAACAATCACTTCTTTGAATATGAATAAAAAAAAAATTAATTTTGCAAATTTAAAAAAATAAAATAAATACGAGTAGAAGTAATAAGGCATTGCTTTCTGTTCTTTATGCATTTTTCATATTATATGATATCTTTAGGATCAGCAATTAAATGCTTGATTATTGAGAAAGTAATAAACTACACACACAAAAAAAAAACTTTATATTGTGTACATATGATATAATGAAATTACACACAATAGAAATGAAGAACAAAACAGTGCATACCTAATTGATTCAAAACAAAAAAAAAGGGAAGACTAAAACCTGAAAAAAAATTTAAACAAGACTATCATGCACATACTCGGTAAGAGGGGTACCAACACAGCCCTGTCGGAAGAACTAAGTCAATGACCTCTATCTGAAAGGAGAGAGGGAAAATCTGGCAACAAACAAGAAGTATGGTTGAGGTGACAAGGACAGCACGCTTGCGTGAAAGAACTTTGGTTTATTTTTCTGTATTCCTTTGGTTCTTTTTTTAATAACTGAAAGATGAAATGTATTAGTTGTGCATTCAATGTAATTGTGAACAAAAATACTTTGTGAAAAGATAATTTGTATTTCAAGAATGAAAATATAACTCAAGTTGTTACTATTAAACCTACGTGAGTGTGGCAGTTTATTTTTCGTGAGTAGAGTTGACAAATAACATTCATAAGTGGATGGAAATGAACCAAGAAAGATGAATTGGTCTAGGATAATGACAGTGGTGGCAGCGATGGGATGAATATTTGTCGACTCAGAAAAAACAATCTGCAAATGTGCAACTTATATATGTAAGCCTATGAAGGTTCCGTGTGGTGTTCC